CGAACGTACTGGCGAACTGACTGACTGACTTCGAACGTACTGACTGACCGGCGAATTTGCTGACTTCGAACGTACTGGCTGACTGACGAACCTCGCCGGTGCGAGGTGAGATTGAGAGGGTAAGGGGGTCTCTGAGATTCGAAGGGAACAAGTCCCAGAGTATATACAGGAAAATACGGTCCGAAGACCAAGAGAGCCAAGAGAAATACAAGAAATGATGAATGAAAGTGATAAGGAAAGTAGCCAATCGGAGAATGTTACAACGCTCGACCCGGACCTACTAACACATGAGAGCATCCAACTCGGCCTTCCGCAGGTTCCGCATAACGGGCGACCGCCCCCGAACGGCGAAGGTCATAACCGGAGCCGGTGACAGTCCTCGAAGATATGAGACAGCGGCAGGAGTTCGCCTGACTTACACGAACATGCCGCACCTCGACCCAACTTCCGAAGCGTATGCTGCCCGCTACTACCGCCTCCTAGAGGTCCTCAAGACCGAGGGACTTGTCGAGCCGCGATACGATGCCAACAGTCCCGGAGAGTGGCTGGCTTGGGCTCACGGAGTCCGTTGGATGATCGTACGTGCCTCCGAACTTAGACTATCGTTCGAACCATCGAACCGACCTTCGAACAGCGATTCTTGTTCGAGTCCCGCAGCCGGGCCATACTGCTGGCGAACGATACGCTTCCTGCTCCTAGGTCGTTCCCCGAGATCGACGAGTTGATGCGTTACCTCGACGAGGTCTTTCACCGCGATGGCAACCAGGGAGACATCCTAGGTTCGCCCTACCCTACGATCGCGTGGTCCGAGACCTTGGTACTGCTCGAACAAGTCAACCAGGCCGAGCGTCGTCCCCTCGCGAACCCGCAGTATCAGCGCGAGTCGTTGATCCTGTCCGACTTTCGCCAGCTGCCCGACAACCTCGAGTCCATGGGTCGAGCGATCCACAACATCGCAGTCGACCAGCGCCGCACGCACGGTACCCTCGTTGGGTTGCTCGAAAGCCTGCTCGAGCGCGTCAACACTGACCGTGGTTCCGACACCGGCCCGTCTGTTCGTAGGGGTAGGGGTGGTGGTCATGGGTGTGGAGGTCGAGGCCATAGATACGAGAGTTGCCGAGGTCGTCACTAGTTAGTTTGACGTAGCCATGTACTTGCCCCGGAGTCCTACCAATGTAGCGACGCTTCTAAACCGCTTGCCTCTGCCACTAAGGGTTCCGAACATTGACGCTTGAGCTTCGAACATTGGACGGTTCCCTCGAACGGACGGACAGTGCGTCGACCATACGGACTTAGTATACTGTCGTACCGACCGTAAATCGCGTTTTCGGTGGGTAGGTGAGCTAAGGGCTCATCAACGCGGCAGCAGCGAAGCCACCGGGCCCTTGCGCGATAGAGTCGACGCGTCCGGCAACAGCCTTCAGCGTGGAATTGATGGACGCGACGGTACGAGCCGAACCATCGACCGTCGTGTTCATTTCGAGCCCATTTGTCCGAATGAGCGCGAGCTGGTCCTTGATGCGACCGAACTCGGTGGTGAGACCTCGACCGATGTTGTCGAAGTTCTCCTGAAATTGCGTGGTGACGATACGCTGCTCCTCCAGCCCGTCCTTCAACCGCATGTTCTCCTCCAGTAAACGCCGCTGTTGGGCTTGGCCCTCCTGCAGCGCCTGGATGATGCTCGTTTCAACCACGCCCCGAGGATCCTCGGGATCACGATGTTGCCGCCGGCCTCTAGCATGGCAAGGAAGACATCCCTGCACGCTTCGGCTGCTGGGAACCACGAGGATGAGGCCATCCTGTCGAACTCGTTGGCGCTAAATTCATCGGTGGTGTACCTAGCGACTCGAGCCCGGAAGTCATCAGACCCCGAGCGGATGAAAGAGCTGAGTCCCGAGGCATAACGCCTGATGGCCGCAAAGGCATCGTCCTCGTCCCAGCTGAATTCGGTTTGCGCGTGCGGCCACGTGAAGTTAACCTCCACGGGCGCTACGGCGGGGTACTCGGCGCCCTCGGGTAAAGACCCTGCAGGCGCACTGAGTTGCGGTTCCACGGTCGGCTCGCGAGAAGGCCGGGGCGTGGTAGAGTACGAAAGCAGGGGGCCAGGCGTGGCCTCCCGCATCTCGCTATCCTGCTGTTGCCACGAGGCATCAGCCATCGATTTACCCGATTGAGCAAGGGGCGGTGCGAGGCGTACCTCGACTCCCTTGGGGGTGTCCGCACTGAACCCAAACCCGAAGTCGATATCCTCCTCCGTTTCAGGGAAGGTGGACGGGACAACGGTGGGGGTGGGGTTGGGCGCAACGCCGGGGCCGACGAGAACAGACTGTTCCGCCGACCCTTGTCGCGAAAGTTGGCGTGCGCGTTGCGCAGCCGATGTTTGTCCTGGCGCAGGACTGCTGTTGCCGCTCGCAGAGCGAGGGCTATGAGGTAGGTGTTGGCCACTTGCAGCCGCCACCGTCGAGGTGATGACCCTAGCGGCCTTAGGGCCCGTAGTCGTGGAGGAAGGGGGAGGATCGGGGGGAGCCATGACGGGCGCCAAAGGAGATGGTGGTGGTACGGGAAAGAGATGCGGCCGGCAAATGAGCAGTCTCGAGCGTGGCAGGTGGGATGGAAGCGAGGTGCGTGATCAGAGAAGTGGTTCGCGGGGAGCGGATGGGGAAGGGACTGACGTGCGTCTTCCCAGGGGGCAGCGCGGAATTGGCGTTTCACGAGGCGCGCTCCCAGTCCACGCTTCCTGTGCGAACGCGCCACCGCTGGGGGACGGGGAAGAAGGCGGGCGACGACGGTGGCGCTGTCGTGGCGTGCGCTGCTCGGGGCGGCGTGTGCAGCCAGGGCATGTGCGGATCGCAGAGACGCGCGGGCGTGCGGTGGATATCATCAGCGGGTGGCAGGTCGGCGTGTGCCAGCTCGCCCTCCCCCGCGCCCACGCGCAGCCGGTCTCTTCATCTGCGGTCCAGCATTCTTTATTCGCCGACGCTGCGCCCGCTCCCTGCATCATCTGTCCCTCGTTAGAGTTTACGGCATCGCCCACTCCTCTTCCCAGCAGCCCCGATGGCCTCTTCCACCCCCCCGTCTCCCCTCGCTCCTGCGCCCTCTCCCCTCGACGCGCATACTCGTCCATCCGCGCCCCTACCGCCGACGCCCCCGCCCCCGGGTCTCACGGGGACCTACATGCCGCCACCGCCCTCGCCGCGCCGCCCCCGCTCCGCCTCCGTTTCCAATTCGTCTGCAACACCTCCCCTCGGACGCGACTTCCGTCCCGCAGACGCGCTGCAGTTCAGCGCCCTCGACCTCGACTTCTCGCTGAAACCCAGCCTCTTTCCCTCCACATCCAGCATGTCCCTCTCCTCGGCATCCGCCTCTGCGTCCTTCGCCACCGCCCCCGCCAGCAAGCCTTCAATATCCGGTTTGAACCCGGCACACGACCGCGACGCAGAGAAGGGCGAGGACGGCGAGCGGGAGGTCGACGTCATCCGCGTCGTGTCGTCGCACGGCGCGAGGGACGACCGGCGTGAGGAGGCAGAGGGCAAGCAAGACGACGGCGCGGGTGGCCCGCCACCGCCCCCAGATGGAGGCACGAGAGCGTGGATGACTGTCGCTGGCGCGTGAGTAGTCGAGTCCTGATTATCACTGTTCACCGGCCGTTCTCCTCTGTCCCCCCTCTTCTCTTCGTCCTTTCTGCGTTGCATACGCGTCGATTCACTGCTGATGTTATCTTGGCGCACGCTGAACAGCTGGCTGGTCCAGTTCTCCACGTTTGGGTGAGTGTTTGGGACTTCGCGACACACCATCCGCATAAGCTGACGCGCTCTGTAGGTACATCAGCTCGTTTGGGGTCTACCAAGGTACGCCCGAAGCCTCTGTCCTGCAGAGATCGAACCTGACGGGCGTGTCTCGTCAGACTACTACGCCACGTATTATCTCCCCGCGGAAACAAGTTCAAATATTAGGTTTGTCTCTGTTGATCACGTCACAGCCATCCAATGATTCTCAGTGAATGGACAGCTGGATCGGGAGTCTCCAGTTGTGCCTGATGTACGCGCCCGGCGTGTTCGTGGGCCGCGCGTTCGACGCGGGATACTTGTGAGTTTCGCTGCTACTTTGCTCTGCTTTACATCATCCGTTCCCGCCCTTGGTGACCCCTCCGATTACCTCTCGCATTCTCTTCTGCTTCGCCCTGGGTCTTGCGACCCAGAGTTCTATTTTATCATGCGATTCTGTGTCTCACTCCGCAGTGGGCGCGCGCTGACTTAATATGTGCCTTTACTTCTGCTCATCCGGACGCCGGCTTGGATTATATTCGCTGTGTTGCTATCAAACAAATGCTGCCTCTCAACGTTGACACGGACCCTCGGCCTCTCCTACGCGCATATAGCCACCATCTGGAGGTGCTCGGCGCGCTGCTGTACGTGTTCAGCATCTTCATGCTCAGCCTCGCGCGCCCGGGGGATTACTATCAGGTGAGTTGGCCTCTTCGCATCTAGGGGTGCCCCCGTGGCGTTCATGCTGCACGTGTGGCGGCCACACTCATACGTGTTCTATACATCTTGCTGGTACGAGCTGGGAGTATCTGGGCTCCCCAAGTCTCATTCCCACACGACGGGCTCTCGCGTCTCCGGATACGGTGCGCGCTGCTCCTTGATAGTCGGCGAGGGTCTGGGAGGGAGCCGCCTCGCTCGACTCGTCATACACCCTGCACGGTCCGAAGACCCTCTCGTCCGCGCCCGGTGCGTGTTCCCCGTACACTGGTGCGTGTGCTCGGAGAGGCTCGCTCCACCTACAGTGTACTCGCACGATGCGCGACACGTCGCGTGAGCCTGCCGCGGGCTCGCTACACCGCGTACATTTGCCGCGGTCGTTCGCTTCTCACGATATGCTCGTACTGGCACCGTCGCAGTCTGCTGCAACTGTCACCGACGGTCTTCGCACCGGTCAGTGCGATCGTCGGGGCGAAGAGAGCCTAAAGGTTCCTGAGGCTCCCAGCGACGCACCGCCCTGCACGCTTCGCGCTTCCGGTTCTCTATTCTATCACGCTTCCGTTTGAATAGGTGCTCCTCACCCGCGATGCCCGCCGTTCTGTTTTTGACTCTGGGCTCCCGCGCGGTGAGACGCGGATCATCGGGCTCTGCGAGCGTTGGGAGATAACTCTCAATTTCTGGTCGTCCGGGCCGCTGACTCGTCCTGCTGACTCGCCCCCGTCGTCTGTTGAGACTCCCCGTCTCCCCCTTCTCGTCCCCACGGGCCTTGTTCTGTGTCATGACGCTCCCCTCCCCGCTTTCTCACGCTCTGCGTTCTGACGTTTGACGTTCTGACGTTCTGACGCTGCCCCGCACGCAGGTCTTCCTCGCGCAGGCGGTCGGGATGGGCCTCGGGCTCGGGCTCACGTTCCTCCCGTCGCTCTCCGTCGTGGGCCACCACTTCCGCACGCGCCGTGCGCTCGCCGTCGGCGTCGCGATCAGCGGGTCGAGCGCGGGCGGGATCGTCTTTCCCATCATGCTCAATCGGTGCGTCTTCACGTTCTCACGGCGGTTCGTCCTCGGCTCACGTACTGTACGTGTGCGCTCGCCCGCAGGCTGCTGCAGGACCCCAGTGTCGGCTTCGCGAACGCGGTGCGGGCGAGCGGCGCGGTGGTCGGCGGATGCCTTGTGGTTGCGAACTGCCTCATGCGAACGAGACTCCCGCCGAAGCGCGGCGATGTCCACCAGAAGGGCGGGTCGAAACGCGCGGCGAGGATAGAGACGTGGCGAGGCATGGTTTGGGACGGGGCGTATCTCTGGAGTGTATGCGGGTGGGTGCTTTCGTATTGGTGGTCGTAAATGGATGTGCTAATGGGCTCGATGATGTAGAGCATTCCTGACGAGCTTGGGCATTTATGTCCCGCGTGAGTGTCTTGCAGATGGTCTTATGGGGCCATAAGCTTATGGCGCGCCCTCGCCGTGCAGTATTCTACCTCCAGCTGTTCGCCGTCGACCACGGTGTCAGCTCGCATATTACGACCTACTCCGTACGTCGTTATCCCTCCTCGTATAATTACACATCTCATTCATCATTTCGAATGTACGTTCTCTAGCTCGCGATCCTCAACGCAGGCAGCACGCTCGGGCGGCTCCTCCCGACATTCCTCGCGGACAAGGTCGGCGTGTACAACATGCTCGTCCCCGCCATGGTCGCATGTGCGGGGCTCATCTTCGCCATCTTCGGCGCGACGAACGGGCCGGGCGTCGTCCTCGTCGGGTCGATATTCGGGTTCGTGTCGGGCGCGTGTGAGTGTTCCTGCGTGTACAATTCGGAAATTCAACAGCGCGCTGACGATTCTTCGTTTGTGACTCAGATATCTCACTGATCCCCACTCTGCTCGTACAGCTGTGTAGGAACATGGGAGAGCTCGGGTGCGCCCCCACTTCCTTGTCTCACTCTTTCGCAAGATCTGATGGTGCTCTCTCTTGGCACAGCGTGAAGATGGGGCTCGCATATTCAGTCGTGGCTGCCGCGAATTTGATCGGGAACCCCATCGCAGGCGCGCTGCTCGGCACAAATACGGGCGGGCCGCTGACGTGGTGGCGTGCTCTAGTGTTCACTGGGGTAAGCGGCGCTTTCTCCCTTCCGCTGCCGTCACGTTTTCTGATCGCGTCCGCTCTGATGCTTTGGATTGCAGTGCGTTGCGGCGGCGGGGAGTGCGTGTATGGGGGTGTCGAGGTCGCTATTCATCAAGGGGCGGGGGAGGCCCGGGCGGAAGGTCTGAGTTGTAGACTCCATGGCGATGCGATGTCGTGGTTCGTTCCAGTTGCGATCTTCCGTGCGGTCGGGCTCAGTTGGGAGCGGTGGAGGTGAGTGCGTGGGGAGTGGCCATGTGGGAGGGATGATCATGTGCTGATGTGCGCTGTTCAAGTTGGCGATTGGCTCGTTGCGCAAGAATTTGGGGTCGGATTCTATTCGATTAAATGATGGAAGAAGATCGCTCCAGGCCGGGCTTGGGCTCTTCGCCACGGACTATCTCATGGGAGAGAGCATGCCGAGTCACCGTGCTTGTGGGTCCGTGTAGGTGCTTTCGATCAGTGCGGGCGCCGGCGTCGACTGCAAGTGCAATGGCCGCGTGCAGGTCTCGGGCCGGACGCCGCCTCGCTTCGTCATGCTCTGCCGACATGGTCTACCCCATTTCCGCGTCATCAAGCCTCGTCTCCGAGCGAACACCGGAATCCCTTGTCATCGTCGCCGGATAACCAAGCTTTACAGTATACTTTCCACATGACCTAGAATCTCGCATGGCTCGCTCTCACCCACTCCCGATCCTCAATCTGCTGCAAGCTCCGCACGCCCTTTTGATATCTTTACCTGTCTACAGCCGCATTTGCATTCTCATCCCCCTTCGCATCTCTCGATCTGTGCCAGCATAGCACGCTCTCCTATCTATTCGCGCCTCTCTGCACTAGCATCGATACCATCTCCCAGTCATCTCACTCAGGCCCCGAGCCCCCATTGCATCGTTGTGTAGCATCGGCACCTCCGTGACTTGCTAGCAATATCTACCATCTGTCTTCGATCTCAGCTTGTCTACCACATCGCACGTTCAGCACGTTATACTGCATCTAATAGGACACTTCCCGCCCATAGTACTTCAGTACTGTAGTGTTCATTGCATAGCCCCCACCTCGGATGTGCTTTGGAGCCACCGTTGCGCACAACGTCTGTGACAATCCCTTGCCTGAAATTACAAGCCATATTGCAATCATGTAGTATCTATTGCATCTACTATACATGTCGAGTATCAAATCTTCGTTTGTGGCATGCAGGCCGCTACCCAAGATACGCATCTCGCCTAAACCGAAGCCCTTGAAGCCTTACTGTTGAAGTGGCTATATGTGCAGGGAAACAAACAACCGCAAATAAACCCTCAGGTCCCCGGCTCAAACGCCCGGCCTGTTTCGATAGCAAACAACCTTCGCAGGCTGCTAGTGGGATGTCCGGCTGCCACCAGTCGCCTACTAGTATCCATCTATTCTGGCAATGTAGGGGTCCAATCTAGTGACGTGGGGGAGAAGATAGCGGTGCGTGTCATCGGTGCGCCGTAACATTCGTATGTGTCCGAGTCCGACGTCACGAAACCTCTGATCACGTACCATGTTCGTAACTTGGGACCATGCAGGTGTTGCTGGCGTGCTGAGGTCACCGTTGACCTAGATTTGGTCGTGTCTAGCATTGGTCTAGCCGCTCAAGACTAGCATAAACCGTGGCCACTGCTAGTGTATCCTCAAGCTATCGAGTCGACGAACTGCAACAGCCCCATGCCTACCCTGGTGTCTTTGAACACACTGACTCGAGCGCATTAAGACAGACAGGTGGTGATCCCAGCGCGCGGTACTGGCCTCCGGCCGACTCAAGACATCGCGTGACGAAGTGTGCCGAGGATTGGATTGGCCCGTGCGCGCACGGAACCAGGACCAACACGGTGAGTTTCTCTCAGCACACGTCGCACAACCCGTAGTCACCCGCAACTGGAAGATCGATGCGGGGCCCCGCGTTTGACAGGATTCATCTTCTGGCTTTCTGACTACGGGCGGTTTGCCCTCGACCCGTTTGATTATGTGCAGCACGACATCAGATGCACGATGACCGGCTGCTAGGGCGGATCAGAGCCGTGCGCCCTTGATGACGCAATGACCATGAAGGTTGTCTTGTTCACTGTCTCAATCACCGTCTGGCTGACACGAGACTAACCAGGTCCAGCACGTATTCGACCCGTCTGCGCCCGGCGTAACGTCCCTCGCCAACGTCTCATCAAGACAGGCAGGCTCTGGGCAGGCTTCTGAAGAAGCACCTCCCGCGCGCATCAGCGGCCCGAGACGACAGTACCTTGATCTGCTATACGCAGGTTGTCTCTTTCCACTTGAGTGCGCCTGTGATCACCCTACTGATTCGCTGTACTAGGCGCACTGCTCGGCATGCCTCTCGCGTTTTGCGAGGCACGCAGGCCTCCGATAGGTTTTTAAACCCCGTGCTCAGCGCTCATAGTCGACTTCCGAGTCCATGAACTCCGCGTGCGCGAGTTAGTTTCATTATGGAAGATGCAGCAACGGCGAGTGCAACCAGCAAATGGCATATCAAAACACTTTCAATACACTTGCTTACGTGACGTACGACAAGGTGGCACACATGGCGGCTGGTCGGCGTAGCGCGGCCTCGCGCCCTTGGGCAGGTCGCAGATGCCACACGTGGCGTCTGTTCGCTCCGGGGCTTGCATCCGACGGCGCACGCCAAGGTGCGTGCATTGTTCCAACCGTCGTACGTACAGGGGTCATGGTGAATATGAAGCCCGGGAAGCAAGATATGACTCACATCGTTTCCTGCCCCAGGCCGGACCTATCTACAGTGCGCCCTGCTACCAGACGTCTTGCGGGGAGCGAGTAGGGTGCGTTGTGACCTGCGCCGTGACAAGTAGTAGCGAGGGTGAGTGTCTTTGCATCTAGGACGTAGATCGATTGACGGAGGTGCGTGTGATGGCGATGGGGCGGCGAGGGGATCGCGTGTTTGCAATGGAAGGAGTGGGATAGGATTGACCGTGACTGGACCGTGATGAGAGTCCCCAGTATCTGTCTAGATTTTTATCTTGAACGATGTCAGGTACTTGTTTGGAGCGGGGGACGCTCCAGATGGAACAGAGTGCTTTCGGACTTTTCCATCCAGGTTGCAGGTCTTATCTGCACCGGAACTCCGAATGCGTACCCACAGATGACGAATACCATGGCTTCGTTTCTTCCGAATCACAAGATGTTTGAATCACGCAATAATCAACCCGCGGGAGCCACTCCTCACAGAAGCTGAAGCGACTATATGTGCAGTGAAACAAACACACCCAAATAAAGCCAGTTCACAAATTCAAGCGCTCAGCCTGGTTCAACGAACAACGCTGCGAGCGTGCATTCGTCGGTAATCGTGTATGTACGCACAAACCACCTACCCATCCGGCATGACAACGTGATGATCCGGTCTATATATGGGCGCGGCGGGGCAGAAGACGGAGAGACTGGCTGCCGGTGCGCCATGACATTCGTACGTGTAGGCTGGCATCACGCCGGAACCTCTCTCGTCTCACTCTCCAACTTCGAACACAGGGCAGGTGCTGATTGAAGCGTCTGCGTGAGCACCACTATTGGTCTGAGCTACTCGGCATCAACCGTAGTGTCCCTGGAGTCGGCGAGTCGGAGTCGGCGAGTCGAAGTCGACGGTCTGCGGCAGCCATACCAGTGTCTTCAGGTTGCATACCGACCCCGGGCTCCAAGCCTGAAGACACCGACCCCAGTCCACGGTCAAGCCCGACCTCGAAGTGTTGCGGGGCGAGGCTTGGGACTTGGAAGGTGCACCGGGTCGGGACGAACGCGACGAGTCTGTCTCTTCATACAGTACGTCATCTGGCTTACATGCATAGTGAGTAGCCACTGGGAGCTGATCGATCGCAGTGTGGGGCGCCGCGGGGCGTTGTGTATCCAATCGTGTTCCCAGATCTGGATCACAACCGTACGTGGGCTGTTCCGCGAGTCGACCCGGAGGAGCTCCCTGGCCAAGCAGGTGGTGCGGAGGACTTGGCAGAACCGCCCCAGAGTCGCTGCGAGCTAACGATCCATCGTGTTGCGACTCACGTGGAAAAGGCGTCCGTAGACTGATCCTCGCGTCTAGCACCGCTCAACACTGACGCCGACCATCAGTCCGTGCGCGGCGTCCAAGGCTGGAGGGAAGGGGCGGACAGGAGGCACGCATGCATCGGGGGCCGGGACGGAACTCGCAAGCGGCCCGTGTCGAGCGCACGCACACGGATGGCGAACCGCTGGCGGGACGAGCGCATACAGTGACGGCGCGGCCGGTCAAGGGCCTTGTGTATACGGAGATGGTGAGGGTGCACGTGGGTGTCGATGGGCGACGAGCTGACACCTAGTTAGCCTTCGGTGAGACCAACGAAGAGGTGACTCAGGCCAACGGGTGCGATGACAGACGGGGACAAGACATGACGATACGGCCCTCGCTTCATCTTCGCGGGACAAGGCTTGCAAGTTCTGACTACGGGCGGGCGGTGGGCGTGAGTGCGTTTCCGTCGGGGCTCATCGACGATGTTGCAGGGTTGTGAGCGCGAGGGATTCACGACCGTCCGCGTTGGCGTATTCCACGTTCGGCCTGGACGGGACGGCGGGGTGCGCGGGGTGAACCGCTACGCGGCCGGCGCTGCAAGGCAGCCAACGCAGCCTGAGGCGCGGCTCGGAACAGTCGAAGTCAGGAGCAGCTCCGAGCGGAGGACGGGTCGCACAACTCGAGTGAGTCGCTGCCTCTGCGCAAGCGTCCGTGCGTCAGAGGTAACCCTGTGATCATAATGCACTGAGACAAGTGGCAAGGACTCGGAAGTTAAGTAAGTACGATCAAAGATGACCCAGACACGAAAGCAGAATGATGTACATACGGCGGTTTGCGCACAAATACAGTACGTGACAGAATCAAGGGATCAACACAAGGGACGTTGAGACTCGGAGACGACCACTCGTATGGTCTAAGACACATGGACGGAAACCGGTACGAGTGAGGACCGCGACAAGTGGACAACAAAGGCAACAGCGAACGCGAGCATGGCTAATCAAGTGAAACGGACCGTGTTGCGTATCTATTGCGCATCCTAGTCGAGCTCTGGCAATCATTCGGCTACGAGCGAGGCTCTTTCGAGCCTATATCGCCCTGTCTGAGTTTGTGTGCCCGACACGTTCTCGCCGTGACAAGTCATAGCACGGCTGATGTCTATGCATGATACACAATAAGAATTTGACCGTCCACGTAATGGTGAGCCGCACCTGTACGCAATGACACCGAGTATCTAGATGCTATCCAATGCAGGGCGAACGACAGCGCGGTCGAACTCGGGGGAGTTGTCCGACCGAACCTCCGGGGTTCCGCTGTCCGGGCATGGGGGATCCACGACACGCGATCGATCGGGAAGGCATATCTCCATAACCCCACGAGATAGCCATGGGATGAAGAGGGGGACCACGAACGATTGGATGGACATGGACAGTTCGCAGGGTGTTGGCTCGGCATCGAACGGGCTCGTACCCAAGGAGCGGCTTTTAAGATGCGTGCGGGTGAATGCCAGGCTTACGCGCCCAGGCCCGGGGAGTAGGTTGGAAAATATCTCGTGACAGATTGCAGCGTGGAAGATGGCGATGTCCGAGGAAGTGGTCTCCATATCTGTGTCGAGGTTGACACCAGCGTCGACGCCTGGCTCTCGTAAGGAGAAACAAATGGACATGTGCTCCAGACACGGGCTCCTAAGCTGCGTGAACAGAGATAGGAGTGTCTTGTAGATCCATGATGTGCGCAGTAACGACACTACAGTGAAGGTCACGTCTAGATATTCCAGTGCGGTATTGTACACGAGCGATGGAGCAATACCCAGCTTGGTACGCTGTGACACATTAGTATGTAGCCTATAGCACGTAGGTATACACGGAACTCACCTGTGATGGTTCTTGATTGTATCGGCATCTGAACGCGCGAAGGACTGCCCCAGAATGTCGCAACACCTTGTCGATGGCAGCGTGGAATTCGGGTCCGGGCATGTCCACGAGACCTATATAAAGAATCCGCAGCTCACAGCACTGCCTCGCGAACAGCTTGAAGAATAGTGCAGCAAAGGCTGAAGGCACCGACCGAAGAGTGACATTGGTGAATGCTTTCATACCTTTGGCCACTCCATTCAACACGGCTTCGTCAGACGGAGGCTCCCATTCTGGCACTTCCTCACAGCGTATGCTTCGGAGGTCAGGGAAAGCACAGAGGAACTGCAGGAGTTGTGAGAACGAAAAGAATTGGGTCGTGTCCAGCACCAGAGTGTTGATGTTCGTGTACAAGGCCAGAACACTGAGCACACTTTGGTGAAACGACTCAATGTGAGCAGTCCCTGAGGCGTAGTCTCCGCTGGCACATCCGAGAAGCTGCAGTGATCGTAGCTTCCGCTTTGCGGAGGGCAGGAGGTTCTCCCCTATACTATTGAGAGCCTGAGGTGCAGAATGGACCGTGATCGAGTAGAGGGTGAGGTCTGTAAGACTAGGCAGAGCATCAACGATAGTCTGGAGTACCTTGGCATGACGGAAGCGACATTTCTCGAGTGTTAACGAGGTGACTGTTCCAAAAGAGTTGAGGTAGGTGAAAAAGGTCGCATGAGGTCTCCTTGTAACCCAGTCTAGCCGTAAGATCGAGAGGCGCTTGACCGCCGAGAGAAGGCATCCGGACATACGCATAGAAAATGTATGCACATACGGCTCTTCGGCGTTCTCATAAACGCGGAGCGTTTGGAGTGATCGGCCATACCGTCGATTGACCTTGGACACGAGAATACGCCCAAGGTCGCCCAGGGCTCTCGTGCTTCCAATGATTACGTCCCGAGAGAGATTGCGCTTTGCAGCGTGATACCAGGCACAGCAGACGAGGCAGCATCTGGCGAGCTGTACGGGCTCGTCCCATATAAAGTCGGCGATGAGTTCGATGATCTCGTGCGGCAGAGTCAGAGATGCATCACTGGGAGGGCATGAGCAACCACTTGAGAATGGTCAACGCAAACGGGGCCATACCTCGCATAGACAGCAAACCTGAAGTTAATCTCGATGTATCTGGGTTCATCAGACATTGTCAGCGCAAGTCGAAGGATATCTACCAGTATCAGGTCAAATCACAAGGCGAAGACGTATCGTGAAATAGAGCGCACCTCGTGGCTACGGCGCGATCGGGCGAAGACCGTCGAACGATGTGCAGCGAGCTGGCTATGGATCCCTACGGACAGTCCTCTGAACGCGGATACACGTCAGTTTGCAATGCCTCAGCAACACTGATTCTCACGCACATCGGTAGGTCGAGAACAACACCAGTGGTGGACCTGACAACCAGCGCGAGAGGGCGAAGGCAGGCAGTGTGGCGGTAGTCACTAGGGACGGCAGGGCGCAGGAGACGGAAGATAAGGACTCATAAAACGACCCAAGGAAGGCGGCGTCCCCGCGCAGTGCCCCCGCGTACACGTGTTCCAACGCTGCCTTCAAGCAGCCTCATTTCGCCAAATGAGGGTGGTGCTTCGATGCATTCCATCCGGCGAAACGCTCGCCGGGCCGATGATTCATTGACCCAGTTGGAAGGCGCGATGCCCTATGTACGCAAGGACAAATTGCAGACCATCGTGAGCAACAATACTAGCGCAGAGTCTTACCAGGTAGTGCCGACTACTTCCCTGAATTGACCACAGAACAAACCCGATGCCCCCGGACTGCGAGTGATCAAGGTACGGTCGCGACAGACCGGAGTGGCGACGGATGTTGACAATTTCTCACTCGTCGGCTTGCGCACAGACGAAAGGAAGTGAGACAGATGGGCCACCGGACGTCTGGCGACATACCTCTGCTGGAAAATATGCCCGCACATTCACTGTGGTCGATCACCATCTTTCGTTCGGACCGCCGGACATCGTGCTCTCCGCACAGCAAGGGAATTGACTCGCCATGAGAAGAGGCTTTCGCTATTCGCTAAGGTCTCGTGTCCGTCGTAATCGAGCAGACACCGAAGGGGACAAGGGACGTGTCCGACACGAGGCCAGAAGCCATTTCCTACTCGACCCACAGCGCCGAAGCGTGACGAAAGCATAGAACTGTTTCGTTGTCATGTTGAGGATCGTGCGGTTGTGCACCGCAAGTTGGATCGTACCACGTCCGATGGCCCTGCTTTGAGGAAATATTCGCGGGCGGTTGACGCAGTGCGGAGTGGTTGACGGGGTGAAATTGCAAGTCAACTGTCGCATCCATTGCGAAGACTAAGAATGAGTGCAACTATCCACCCGCCCACGCACAAAGTGCTGTTGTACAGTATGCAGCACCTCGTTGGGCTTCCAACATGACCTGCATCAAACGACTCGAGGCTCGGACGAGCAGTGGAGCTTCTGATGTAGAAGGCCAGTCCGAACGAACGCTAGGACAAAGTTGACAATACAAGCAACGCGTGGTCCGACATGTTGAACAGACTGGGTCGCGGAGCACGGAACAAGATAAGACGACGTTACAGTCAAATCCACGTGCACGTACAGCAAGGAGACACACGACGTCCTCATACGGAAGGGCCCGGCGCCGCGGCTGTGGTAGGACCCATCGTCTCAGGTCTCGTGTGACGAGCCTCGCGGTGGCCAAAAATGCGAGCCGAATGTACGCACATTCATCATGAGCGAGGAAGCTAAGTCGCTAGTAGCCTCGAAGCACACCAAGACGAAGATACTCGTGTTATGCACCTCGCATGCAGTCGTAGACACGTCCGCCGAATCGACACAAACTTGGTCTCGCGCCGTCGGCGCGCGTTCGAGGAGTCACTACGCGCAGTCCACTGAAACAGTGAATAAATGAGAGACCGTGTAGCGTACGAGCAAAAACTTCAGGACTGGGCGCACTACTCACTGGGCGAGATATCCGGCGACCCACTCCGTCGTGGCGTCGTAGCATCATAGGTTGGTTTTTTGACGAGAATGAACGGAGATCATGGTGCCTTGTTTCCGAGTAGATACGAGGGACGGTATGCATAGGCTGCCTCGTCGCGCTGGAAGGAAGCGCTATTGCAAACAATCATGGGCGGACGGCGGTACAAAAGATAGCTAGTATACACACCTCGTGTTGCTCGCCCTCAATGCTACCTCGCAAAATCTCTCCGCGTCTCCGATGTCTGCATTGATGATAGTTACTTGAGGGTCGTTCATAGGCCAGCCCAACATCGAGGGCATCGACCTGCGGACGCGCTTGCGCGGTTCTGAGATCCTTCGGAGCCTACACACAAGTCGAGTAGCTCGTATTTACGGCTCGTCCGGCATACACGAGCTATTACCGATGAGGGCCAATACCACGATCAGGGACTGCATACACGGTGGTAGGGAGAGGCACGTTCGGACATACCCGACGTCAAAGCAGGTCGACTCCGTCCCCCGTCCTCTTCAATCCCAGCTGTTCGATCGTAACAGCTTTTCGGCGTAGCCTCCGGTAGAGCGTAGTCGACTCCGAACGAGTTTTGTGAGCGATGGGAGTGCCAGTGAAGGTGTTGGTCTGAGTTGATGCGCGTCGCGTCTTGGTCACTCGCGTCCAGGTCGCTCTCCAGCGCCTCTGTTCCCTCTTGTCGTTCACCACCATATCGATCACCGTGCACTGTGCCATTCAGTTGCAGCATCGTGCGCCTCTACTAGCTCACCGCGCTGCGAACGCCGGCGACATATCTGTTTCTCCTCAAGCCCAATTTTGGATCTTGCGCCTCAAGATCAACATCGAGGATCGACGCTGCCCTCAGCATCAACCTCCATCACACGACATAGCAATGGCTGCGTCTGCGAGGCAAGTACCACATGCTCAACGTCATCGACCTCGCGCGTGCTCGTCAAGTTGGAGGGCACTACGCGTTATGCAAGTCACGTAGTTCTCGCCCATCCCTCCCCGCCCTGCTGCCCTATACGCGCTTCCCGCCGGTACTTAGCCTAGCCAGTCGTAAGTACTGGTAATCATCTTCCGCAGCGTCATGCGGGCTCGTCGGGCCTGTCGAGCGGCTGAAGACGAACACATCTAACACGCAAGTGAATCTTCACGTACGACTCAACCGTGGAGGGGCATTTCTGAAGGAGTAAAGCGGGTAGTGCAGCGTACGTCGCTCGAGGGTTGAGTCTGTATATCCCGCTGATTGTACTCGAGCAGGCAGTATTTTCCGACCATCACGCGCACCGTGGCTGACTTATTGCTTGGGCATACCACATAACGTACCCATCGCTTAGCTCGCGCATATATGCGCGCGATCCTAGTCATGCGATGTCGAAACCAAAACGATGCTGTGCGCTTCTAGCGTTTGCTTGCTAGATAGGTGGACACTGGAAATTTCGGAGACGCGGTCTGTCGAGGAAGGCGCTCACTGCAGGTGTCCGCTGGTTCGCTGAACTCAGTATGCTGCTTGCCGTTTCCATTCACAGAGCCGCGTCTTCATAGGACTACCAGGCCATCAGCCCTTGTCCTCATGCAGCTTCATCCCGGTTCTGCTTAACGGTCGCTCTGGTATGCTGCATTTGCTCCGACTATGCTCCGCGGCGCCAGCTAACCTCCGGGAAACTTCAGTTCTGCGATTCCGCCACACGGATCATACTCAATCGGTGAGTGGTCATCCCTGAATCGAGTCGTCGTGCTTTGTCGCTAAGTGTACTTCGCCGTGGCTCCGACAGCTCGCTGCAGCACACGAGCGTCGGCTTCGCGAGCGCGGTGCGTGCGAGCGGCGCGGTGGTTGGTGGGTGTCTTGTGGTTGCGAACTGTCTCATGTGATCGAGACTTCCGCCAAAGCGCGGCGGTGTCACGGTGTCGGGGAAGGGGGGTCGAAGTGCGCGGCGGGGGTGGAGACGTGGCGGGGTGTCCAGGGTACATACTACTTCCGAGCTGTCCGCCCTTCTCTACACCCCTTCGTCGGTGCGCATCCCGCTTGTGGCTTACGATTCCTGCCTCAAGATGCGGCTAACCCGACGTAGATGCAGGGCCATTAGGGCCGGCATGCAGAAGCGGATGTGTGTTGACGCGCGGGAGGGCAGTCCGAGTCAGAATGGGACGCAGGTATATCACGGTACGTCGCAGCGCGTCGACATCTGCTTTGAAGACATTTTGACCGGACTAAAGAGGGGATTTTTTGCCGCGCTCTGTCAAGTCAGCTATGGCGATCTCTCCCTCCTAGTCTCATATACACACCACGCAGAGCGTGTCAGCCGTCGGCGATCGCCGAAATTTCTAGCTGCGTGCCGGGTGGGCCAGGGCCCGCTTCGAGCCATCGCGAAGGCGCACCTGAACATACTCCAACATATCATGATGTCGCAGATCCCTCATACGATACGGTCAGAGCGGGGACAAGGCAGACGGCAACGCGC